TGGTGGTGGCAGGAGCCTCTCCCGCCTCCTCAGCAGCGCTAAGGATGTCTGACTGCAGCTTAGGTCTGCTCCCTGCTGGTAAGTACGCATCCCCCGAGGGCTGCCGGGCTGCCAGAGGGATGTCTGCCTGGGCCCTATCCCCCAGGGAGTGGGCCTAAGCCTGTAGATGGACATCCTCCGAGGTGTCCCAGACTGCAAGAGGGCATAGGCCAAGCTGAGGGACCCTCCCTGAGTGCACAAATTTTTCTGCACCGGGCCTCTAGTTTTAAAATATATGTGTAAAATCTTTCTTTTAAGCAATACCTTACTATATGTAGTCTTCTGTGAGTTGCTTTTTTTACCTCCATATTCTAAGGCTTCATAAGTTCCATGAACTTTAAGTGTTGGATTTATGTTGTATACCATATACTTTTTCCTCTGCCATGCAATACTTTGCCCTCTTCTTCTGTTCCTATTCAACTCTTATTTTATATAGTAGAGTGAGTTGTTAATTTCCTAGAACAGGAGCCATATAACTGAGTTCACATACGGGTTATTCCACTTATTAGGTCTGTGACATTGGACATGTTAATCAACCTCTGAATCTTAGATTTCCAATGAATAAAAGACTACCTATCTCAAGGAATTCTTCTGAGGTCTCAAGGAGTGACTACATGAAAAATTCATAGCATAGCCTAGAACACAGAGAGAATTTATATAAACTATACATTCTATATATCCACATATAATATTTATCATGTATCAGGCATTATTTCAATTGTGTGATACATCAGTTAACAAAAAACAAAATTGTGTTTTGGTAGTCCCTCCAATACAATGGTAGGCAAACGTAGATTAATTTGTATGGAAAATAATGCAATAAATTAATAGTAACATAAGAAAAACTGTTTTGCACACTCACAACTGTAAACATACTTTTGCCCACCCTTGTATAAAGTAGATATTAGACATTAGATGTTGAATATATATATATAAGCCTAATATGCAAAGTGTCCCTCGGGAGTTCGACCAACTGGGAGTTCGATTGCTCGCTATGATGTTCACTGACGATCAGAGGTGGTGAGGAGGGAAGGAAGGCCCCAGCTGGCAGCCACTAGGGACCCTACCCATGCACAAATTTCATGCACGGGCTCTCTAGTTAAATATAAGAAACAAGTACATTATTATAATGTGTTGTATTATAGTAAATGGTAATGTCTATGGGAGGTGATAGTAGAGTTGAGTACCTGGAATACAATCCTATATAATAAAACCCTAACATGCAAACCGACTGAACAGTGGAATGACCAGAAGAATGACCAGTTGCTATGACACACACTGACCACCAGGGGGAAGATGTTCAATGCAGGAGATGCCCCCACCTGCATTGAGCATCTGCCCCCCAAGAGGGAGGAGACTGGCAGTGGTGATCAGGGGGTGGAACTGGCCAGCAGGTGGCACCAGACCACCAGCCAAAGTGGGTGACAACGGGGGGGACCCCAATTCCCCCACCCAACAGCCACCCAACAAAGGGAGGAAACCAGGAGTGATGGTGGGTGGTGGGGCCAGCGAGCATGTGGCGCCAAGCCGCCAGCCAAGGCGGGTGCCAGCAGGGGCCTCCTGATAACCCTGCCCGTAGGTCACTCCACAGATTGGCCCTGGTCACTGGCCAGGCCTAGGGTTCTTACCCTATATATTGGGAACAAATTCTTAGATTTAAAAATTAAAACCTGGCAAGGCTACTCTAACATTGAAAAAACAGGATGATGCAGCGATGACATGCATGGACTCTAGCTTGCACATTTTGTGGTCAGCCCTGATTCTGAGACTTATAACTGTGTGACAATGCCAATTACTTAACTTCTCTCTGCTTTAGTTTTTCTGAAACTGGTACTGCTGCCTCAGAAAGATCATGTTATGTACTACTTTTTATAATCAAGGCAAAAAAAATGTAGCTGCCCATACAACAGCAAGATGCCTTTCACTTGTATGAAAAGTATGGTCACTGGTGCATGCAGTGTCCTAGACTGGGAGAGGGATGTCCAACTGCTGGTTTAGGCACGATCCCTGCAGAGGGAGGTGACTGGTGGCAGCAGGTGTGGGCGGGGCCAGCGAGTGGGCAGCGCCAGGCCAGCCAATGCGGGTGCCAGCAGGGGCCTCCCGATTGCCGTGCCAGTTGCCCCAGAGATTAGTCTTGATCTCCGGCCAGGCCTAGGGACCCTACCCATGCATGAATTTCGTGCATCGGGCCTCTATTTCTAAATAAGGTAGTCATGAGTTAGGTCTCTTGAAGGAGAAAATTTTTGAGCAAAGCTTTAAAATTGATGGAGCTACCCATACCTGTATATGGCAGAAGAAACAGGTTTACCAAGTCCTAAAGCAGAGGCTTGTTTGGCATGGTAAGGAATGCTGAAGAATAGGTGTGGCTAGCCCAGGTAGAAGAGACTAAGAGAAGATGAGATAATGGGGACAGCTCATTTAGAAGTCACCTAAAAATCACAATTTTGTCAACTCTCAGTTAAGATGTCACTTCTTCAATGTCGTATCCTCAGTGTTTCTAGACAAGGACATATGCCTTGATTATGTGCACATTCTAATTTTTTTAAAGTTATGGAGTACAACAGATAGTCACAAAAGTCTACAAAACTTATGCCTTCCCAGTCAAATAGTATCATCTTGGGAGTACCTTAGAAACCCTTTGAACTCTTTTCAATCATTCACTTCCAAATATAACAATTATCCTAACATTTAACATTACATTTTCTTTTGCATATGTTTGATACTTATTCACATGAAATCTCTTTTCTCAGATATCTACATTGCTGCAGTAGGCTATATTCCTTTTTTAAATTTCACTGCTGTGCATTATTCTATATTTTATTCATTTATCCTACCACTGATAGTCATTGGGTTGTTTATAGTTTTGAGTTGTAGTAATTAATGCTTCTATGGAGATTTGTGGATACATGACTAGACATTTTGGGTTTGCTTTTCCCCTTTGTACTTCCTAGGTTAGTATTTTGCATATAGTAGAGAGTACTTAATATTTAATTAATTAATTAATTAATTAATTAATTAAACCAATGTTCTTAATATTCCTTCTCAATATTTCAATTTGGAGCCTTGAAATATTTTCCAATAAAAATATTCTCAAGTCATCAGGGTCTCAAATCCTGCACCAGTTTTCTTATTATGCTTTTTATTAAAATTAGCTTTGCTGTATATGTGTATGTGTGTGTTTGCTGACCTTTATAACATTATAGATAATACTGCTGAAGAATAAACATGTCCCAAGATTCACAAAAACAATTTTTAAGATTAGGTACTCCCATTATTCAAGGAGTGCAAATATATTGGAACATAACCCATTTGTGAGCTTGGTTTCACCACTGGCAGTAGTAATAAATAGTGCTTATAACTATTTCATCCCTGGAAACGCTTCTGAAAGATTTTGTTTTCTCCTCCCAAGATTGTTAATACTCTTTTGATCTCTAACTCAATAAAATAACAAAATAAATAAACCAGAAAAATAATACCCCCAAAATGGGAAAATACCACATTGCTTTATTGAATTATCCAACCCTTAGAATTTTGCATTTCAGAACATAAATAATGATGTAAGAATTTTTAGTTCTCTATAAAACTTCCTACTGTGAAACACTGAATAAGGGTAAATCAACTTCCTTTATCTCTTTCTTAAAAAAGTAACGTCAAGATAGTATGTAACCTTTAAAATTACATTGGTCTTCTTACAAATAAATGGAAATGTTAATTAAGTTCAGTAGAATCTTAATAATATTCTATGTTTCTTACCAAACCCTTTCTTACTAGTTTTTTAATTCATGAACTAAATATTTTGTTAATAAAACTGACAATGTAATAGATATTTAAATATCCCATTCCCATTAAAATTACAATAAAAATAATTTGTTTTGCCTTGGAAACTAAAATCATTAAATTCTAACTATGTCAAGAACATTTCTATATATTTTCAACATGTTTAAATTGGAATAGTATGTTAAATTTATTCCTTTTCACAATTATAATTGTTTTGTGTATAGGCACTTAGAATTATAGTTAACTAGAGGCCTGGTGCATGAAATTTGTGCACGGGGCGGGGGGGAGGGAGTTGTCCCTCAGCCCAGCCTGCACCCTCTCCAATCTGGGACTTTCGAGGGATGTTTGACTGCCCATTTAGGCTGTCTCCCAACCGCTCGCCTGCCTGCCCGATTGCCCCCTAACCACTCCCCTGCCAGCCTAATCAATGCCTAATTGCTCCCCTGCCAGCCTGGTTGCCCCTAACTGCCCTCAGCTGCAGGACTGGTTGCCCACAACTGCCCTCCCCTGCTGGTCATCTTGTGTCCACATGGGGGTGTCCATCTTGTGTGTTGGAATGATGGTCAATTTGCACATTACTCTTTTATTTGATAAGATAAGAACAAATTATTATCATTGATTTATTTTCGGATGTTCTCATGCCACTGTACCGCCAGCATATAGATGTTGTATATTTGCCAGATGCCAGAAACAACGGGTCTCGTATAATTAAGAAAGAAAAAAAATGATTTTTGTGAGAATTCACTACTTGGAGAGTTCATTTCCTTTTCCTTTTCCCCCATCAAGAGCCGAATTCGTAGAATGTGGAATGACACAGTCCGAAAGCAGTCAGAGTCTTCCTTCATTACTGGAGATATAAACAGTTCAGCGTCACTCAACAGAGGTAATTAGAATGATTTTTCATATGTATTATAGTTGTGGTTACTTTAAGAAATTATTAAATGCATTGCCTTTTTTTTTGTAACTTCTGGACCTTTCTCCATGTGATAGGAATATTGCAAAGATATAAAACCTGGTTGAGTGTAGTAGCAGTGTGTTCCATTATTCATAAGCCTCTTTTTTCCATCCTGAATTTTCAGGAAATCTTTTTTGAAAGGAAGTTAGAAAACAAGAACTTTCTTTTTCTAGTCATCTGCCACTGCTATAAACTGGTGAGCTGTCAGGCCTCGTTGGAAGCAGTGAAAATGAGCAATTATGTGGCTATATAGTCTGCTAAGCATCATAGAGTTCCACATTGTCCCAGGTATAGAGCACTTTCATAGTCTTTGTGGAAGTAAAAATATACTGTCTAATACATACTTAAGGCAACCTGTGTATTTGGAGGGGAAAAAAAATCACATCTTAATATCTAAAAACCTTATTCATATAATATTGGATATTTAAAGATCTTTATATATACATATATGTATATGTTATGATTATTTTATGTGTGTGCTTCAGTAAAAATGTTTCTAGGTCATAATTTAGGTGTTTTTTTTTTAAATGAACTTCACTTAATCTACCGTTTTGTTTATGGTTGATTTATTTTGTATTCTCTTTCTTACTCTCTTATATAGTGCATGTGTGCAAGTGATTAGAATTAAATTGACTACAATAAAAATGCATAGATGCATTATTTGTGGAGAGCTAGAATACACTAGTCAGTGCAAGAAAATATTTAGAATACAATATAGTTTTATCTGGGAAGGTGGTGATTGTATAAGTTTATTCCAAAAATGTCTCCATCCTAAAAAAGACATTTCTGATGCATATATTCAGAACTTATTTTTATGATCCACATTATTATTTTTTCTTACCAAACTAGGATTATTAGTTTGGTCTAAACATGTTTCTGTCAGCTTTTTGTTACATTAAATGCTACTTAAAAACAAATAATTTAACACAGTTATGGCTTATGATTAAGAAAGATTCAGATGCTCCTGCTCTGAAATTACTTTTTCTCAAGTACATTGCATCCTATTAATATAAAATAATTTAGGATATGTAGTGTCCAAGATGAATTTGTTACAGGGATCCATGTTATATATAACCTTAACTGATTTTCATATGTTACTTGGCAGTGATATAGTAACTATCATCCAGTGATAATATTAAGTATTCTATATCTCTTTTGCTTTAATAAGAACAGCGAGTACAAATATACCTTCACATATGAAGAAAATAAATTAAAATAAAACAAATCCCTTCTTGTATTTTGTTTCATTATTAGTTTATTTTTATTTGTTATAGTATATTGATTTACATAATATTGCTCAAATATTCTTTTAACATTTAATTTTTAATTTTAATGGTTAGTTTGTAAAAATATGTTTAGATATGAATACTCAAACTTTTTGACAATCTTTGAAATTACAGAACACAAATGACTTAAAAATGCCTCCAAAGTTTAGGAACTAATTTGCTTCCATAGTGAAATATTTTCTTTAATTTTACAATAATCTCATGTATAGAAAATTTATAGGTATGCTCCTAGAAAAAAAGCTATCCTTATTAATAAGATTTATTATTAGAAGTATCTTACATGTAATAATTATAGAAACCATAGAATAATTGTTGTTTAAATAAAACATGAGATAATATGATTTTAATGGTGCACTGTTTGCCTGCTGTGAAGATGGATAAAATATGTAAAACTATTTTGCCTATCATCATGTTCTAAATTTATATAAAAAATAGTAAGGTATGTAACTTGTAGCAAAAACTTTCTAAATGCACAGTTTATGACCTTGATTTTTAAGGTCAGTTGCATTAACCAACATAATATTGCTGTGCCATTTTAGTTCCTTCTCAAGAATTTTATCAAGTTGGAATATATAAAATATAGATGACTGGATCAATTTGAAATATATTTAAAGAAAATAATACTTTATATTGACTGATCATCTGTTTAAATCTATGTTTACAATATTTAGTTTTTAAAGATATTTCTTAAAGTTATTGTGGAAAGTATAAAATTTCTTGTAATAGCCGATAAGTTACTTTAATGATGACTTTGGGAGAGAGTGACATTGAATTTATGATCTGAAGTGTGTGCAGGCAGTGATCTTTTCCTCAGGATATATATTCTTCCTTTCACTCAGTGACTTTCATGGTGGTAGACATCACAGTGATCTTCTTGATTTCCTATATTAATTTTCTAGTCCCCAAGTCAGAAACTCCTTGTTTTATTCTCCTCTCACTATTTTTTACCTTAGATGAGGGGAGTACTTTAAAATTTTATTTCTTCATATTATATCTCTGAAGATAGTCTTTAACTTCCTTCTTTAATCTTGTCTTATTTCCCAGGGTCCTATCTTCCCTGCATTCAGGCGTGTGTATCATATTTAGGTAGGTGGCATCCAAGATTCACTTTCCAGATAAACACTTCAGTCACCTCAGCAACATAATTATTCACCTCTGTTTATTCAAAAGATTACATTCTCTATTATTTAAAAAAATTAGGTCCTGCATCTTTACATCTTCATATATTCTAACTTCCCATTCATTCTTAGTTTCTTATAACTAGCAATTTTTAAATTTCCCTTTCTAAGTTAGGTAGTTTAAATCTCTTATTTTTGCCTTTAGAACAGATCTGGCCCTTGAAAACCACAAAACATTGTCTAAAATTAATCCTATTTTCACTGTAGGTTTTCTTTCCTGTTCATACCACTGCCTAATTCATCAAAAGAATAATTGTTTGAAAAGTATTATTCTAAACAAGAAACCATCATTATCATCTCTGTGATCCATTAAGGATAAAGTATTTACCATGCCGTGCAGGATCCCTTCTCAATAGTTTTTATTTTTAAAAACCATTTCTAATATTCTATTCTTGAACCAACTTGTTATATCTGACATATCCAACTTAAATTTCCCAATGAGATAGATGTGATTACTAATAGGATTTTATTCCTTGAAATCATAGGAAACCTTGGAAGAGTTATTAATCATTTTCAAATTGTGTACTCATTCTTATATATTCTCTTTGGGATTTTGTTATTGGACACCACATCTCTTTAAAACTGTCTACTACATTTGTCTTTAGAATAGCTATATTTATGAAGATGTTTTCTGAATATTCCCTATACATTTTCAAATATTTTCCCCCTGCCAACTTGATTGCTACAATGCTGTACACTCACATAGATCCAGAACTTCTTGAGGTCGTGCCACTGTATACACAGATAGCAAGAGCTTTGCAAGAGCCCCAAGATGATGGTAAATTACAAAGTTTCAAGTAAGGATACCCCTGATCCAAACCAAGTTTTCACAAACCCCACATTAGGGTTTATTCATTTGTTCATTTGAATAGTTACTATTTTCATGCACCTTAAAGTTAGTCCTTTATCCCCAAGCTCCTGTCAGGTCTATTGGAAACCTAATCCAAATTTCTAGCAACTCCAAATTCCTGGTAATAATAGAAACAATGTGTGGGCAGAGTAATCCTGTACACCTGTATCCCCTACCCTCAGTGCCTGCTGGCCAAATCTCATCTTGAACAATTTAGATTAACATTGCTCCTGAAACATAAGTTAGACCCACAAATGAAGTATCTCCTGAGAAAGTGCTCTGGTACTTCAAGTAATTGTTAAATATTTCCACTCTTTTTGTAGATCTGTCTAGAAATTGGAATATTTTCTAAAATTAAACTTTAGTAGGCTTTATTTCATCATGAATAACATAATAGTAATACGCATTTTTTATTTAATTAGTTGAATCAACATCAGAAATGTCAGTTTAAAATCCAGTTTTCTATGTAACTACTTATCAGTATGTTATAGTTGAGTGAATTATAAAAAGGTGCCCTCACCCCAACCCAGCTGTAGATTTATTGCAAAAATATGCCCCATCTGAGTGGCAGATTTAGCAAAAAGGCATCTCTTATGTGAGAACAATGGCTTGATTAGCATTATGGGTTTTTATTTTCCCCCACTCCCCATCCTCCATCTCATCAACTTCCCACACAGCGCAGTTCAGATTTTTATACATGGTGACCTGACCACCAATGCTGAATTTATTTAAGCCAAATTTGCTATATGGCAGAAGACTGATCTATCAAGGGGTAGCACTTCTTTATTAAAGCTAATACATTTCCTCTAGCAGTGGCTCTCAACCTTCCTAATGCCGCGACCCTTTAATACAGTTACTCATGTTGTGTTGACCCCCAACCATAAAACTATTTTTGTTGCTACTTCATAACTGTAATGTTAATGCTGTTATGAATCGTAATGTAAATATCTGATATGCAGGATGTATTTTCATTGTGCGCGACCCCCAGGTTGAGAACCGCTGCTCTAGAGGTTCAGAGTCATATTCACCTGTACACGCATGCTCAGTAAGCGTATGTAATCAGTAAAATGATGATGGCCTGTGACAATCTTTTCGTAAATTTTTAAGGTTCATTTTGACTCTCAGTGGCACACTACCTACTCAAAGGGGACCTCACTTGTTAGAAACATTATCAATACAAAGGGGAAAGTTGCCATCAAATAGACATTTGCAAGTAGTTGCCTTACTCACTGCAGTTATGTACAATAGTTTTGAGAATGGAGCCTGAACCCAGTGATTTCGGTAAATTGCTTAACTTCTCAATGTCTATACAATAGGAATATAAGTAATACCCCCTCAGGAGGGCCCTGAGACTACTAAGTTACTTAATATATGTTATTTGGTTACAACAGTGCCTGGAACATAAGTATTATTGTTATTATTCTTTTATTCAGAAATTTACTTCTGTTTCTACACCTAATAACTGGTTCTTGCCAGTACTCTCAAGTAATCAGATGTTAAAATTTATCATTTGCTCCCAAAGGTTTCCTTTCTTTTTTTAATCTTTATTTTCTAGTAATAGGTGGGAGGAATGAGGTTGTTATCTGAATGCCAAGTAAAAGAAATAATAATTTA